TGTCTTGTGAGGCAGATCAGAGCCTCTTTCAAGAAGACAAAGGGTATCTCAGCATTGTTTTTGTTTGAAACAGAGACTTCATACATAGCTCAGACTGGTCTCCAACTCATGGCAATCCTCCTGCCTCAGCCTCCAGACTTTGGGAATTGCAGGCATGCACCCCCATATCCAGTGATAGTGCTCATATGAAGCAGTTGGATATGGTCATCTTGGACATGGGTCCTCATTTCCAAAATCTCAACAACTGGGTTTAAGGAGACTAAATGATCAGACTGGTATTTCCCAGTGAAAGAGTGCTTGGCTAGCACGTGCAAGGTCTCAGGTTCTAACCTCATACTGTGACTTAAAATGAGAGAATCTTCTTGAAGAAAACCAGATGAATCAGGGAAAGAACTTAGAGAAATAAATAGGTCTAACAGTTGCTCGCATTAAGCCCTTGAAGGAAGTGATGAGAGGGCCAGAACTCAACACAGCAAAGAAGAGAGCTGGCTCTGGGATGGATCGAGGGAAGCTTAATGAAAAGGTGCCATTTCAGTTGAAGAACTGGTAGGAAAAAGAAAGGCAACTAATGGTCATGGCGGCAGCGAGTCCTTCAGTGCCCACATTGTGCCAGGCAGTGTGCTGCTTAGTTGGTAAGACATCTGCTACAGCCTGTTAGTCATCAGGAGTCCCTTCCCACTTTGCCTATGGGGAACTGGAGCTCAGAATTTGTATAACTTGCTAACAGCTACCTGACTCAAATCCCAGCTCTTAGACTTTGCTAGCAGAGAGTGAACGGGTGGTCTCCTTGGGAGAGTTGTGGAAAGGAAGCAACGAGCAATGTACACAGGTCCAGAAAATTGTAATCTAGGATGTAAGATAGGTTGTATGCTGTAAGGGATAGGATCAAGAGAACAGGGCTCCAAATGTCTGGGGCCTCTATCCTCAAGTGGGAGCGTCACTTCCCGGAGTACACAGGGGTCTTCATCCATGGAGATTCCATCCTTAAAGGACTGCATCCTTGGGGACTCAATGCTCAGGGACTCCATCCTTGAGGGCCCCATCCTTCAGGAAGCCATCACCTTGGTGTCTTCATCATCAAGTGCATCCTAAAACTTCCATCCTTCAGGACTCTATACTGGGAGATGCCTTCTTGGAAGACTCTACCCTTGAAGATTCCATTCTTCAGGACTCCATCCTTGAAGATACCATCCTTGAAGACTCCATCCTTGAGGGTCCTATCTAGGGCCATCATATCCTTATAGACTCTATCCTTGGGGAATTCATCCTTGAAGAACTCCATTCTTAGGGCCCGGAAGAGATTCTGAAAGTGTCTATACTGAGAAAAGGCATTGTCTGAGCTGAACAAGAAACACACCATGCGATATTTTGGTAGCCATCTTGTCTTTAAAGTTTGGTGTTGGCCAACAATAAATGGTTTTGCATAATCTTTTTTTTCCTAAGACAAGATTTCTCTGTAGCTTTGGAGCCTGTCCTTGAACTTGCTCTGTAGACCAGGTTTTGCATATTCATATGTTGTAGTGGGATGTATATAGGGGTATGAAAGGTGAATGAGTCTAGGATTAAAACAAGATTTCAGGGAACCCTCAGTGGTAATCAATTGATCCTGCCAAGATCCCCCAAGAGGACTATCACAATAGTTTCAGGAGCTGAGTTCCAAAGGAGAAAAGAAGAACATGTTGTCAGGATCCGGTCCCAACTGCTGTGTTCCAAGACCATCTACATGTTCTAGGGATAACCACCTAAACCAGAGGTGTTTGGAGCTAGACTTTGACCCACTCCCATAACTAGCAGAAGCTGGTTTGGGGTCAGGTCCTTCCAGAAAGCCAACTCACAGCCACTCCCGTCACACAGGGAAAATAATGGAGAAGTTGCAGCACTCTGGACCCTGGCCATCTGCCCTGTCATTTCTGTTTCCTTTACTATCCCACACGATGTTAAAGATGGAACCCATGGCCTTGCTGCAAGACAGATCAGCGTCTGTCACTGAGCTACACCTCCCATCCTGATGTCATTTCTCTTATTATGTCCCTGGCCTACTCCCCACCCACAAAACTTGGGGGAGGCAGAGCACTGGTGAAAGCCACGTCACCCTCTACCACCCATGTGATTATAGCAGTATTCTTCAAATCCTAGGACATCATCTGGACTCTACACACTTGGATGAACAGGATATCTCCCCAGAGGCACCACTGACATCTGAGGTCAGATGATTCCTGTTGTGGGGCTGTATTACAAACTATAGTGATAACTCAAATCCTGTCCTCTACCCACAAGATGCCAGTAGCACCCCATGCATGAGTTATGATGACCCAAAAGGCTTCCTGGCATTGGCAGAGTGTGAATGAGTGATGAAGAGACACTACTAGAGCAACAGGAACAAAGAAGCTTCTCTTGAAAGTGTCAGAAAACAGGCAAATAAAGGGTTTGGCAATGGTTAGGCAGCAAATCCAGAGTATAGCCTTGGAGCTAAGCCAAAAAGAATTCCCCAAATATAGTCCTGCACCTCTTGCCCATGGGTATAAAATGGGTTCTAGAGTGAAAGGAATTCCCCAGAAGCCCTTTGTGAAGAGGGTTCTCCATCAAGGTCTTTAAGTCGACACTCCCTGTGACCCATTACCCCCACTTTGGGGTCAGCATGACCTGTCTGAACTCTGAGTCATCTTGTAGAACAATCCAGTAGAAGAGAATTTCCATCCATCATCAACTTGTACCCATAACTCTACACACTCGAGAAAGAGATGAACATGGGTCATTCTCTACACTCTGTGCTGAGGTCCTGTGTCAGTCACTGCATCCATGAGAGTGGCTCAGCACTACCACAGACCTCTCCTTCCTTTTTGGTGGTGTGATTCCATATATATATATATATATATATGTGTGTGTGTGTGTGTGTGTGTGTGTGTGTGTGTGTTCACATGTGTGGGCAAGAATGCACATGACACATGTGTGAATTCATGTGGAGCCTGAAGCTGCCACTGGATGTCACTGGGTGGCTTCCTTGTTGAATAGAGCCTCTCACTTAGCGCAGAGCTTGCCCACTATGGATAGTCTAGCTAGTCAGATTGTCCTAGGGATCCCCTGTGTCTCTCCCCCAAGTGCTGGGATCACAAGTGGCCACCACAATTGCCCAGATTTTACAAGGGTTTTGGGGAACTGAACTCTGGTTCTCACACTTGTGTGTTTTTCTTCCACATAGCCATCTCCCCAGCCCCTGTTCTGTTTATTTGGAACAATTCCATCCTGTCCCAAGAGCCGCAAGGGCAGGGAGCATGTCCTTCTCTACTCTGTGTCCAGTAAGGCTCACCATAGTTTTTGGCCAAATGGTATGTAGATGAAGATTTGTGGGCTTGCAGTGACTAGCAGAAGATAGCAGCAGTGATGGCTCTAGACCTAGGGACAACAAGGAAGGGAGCAAAAGGCACCTAAGATGGCATATTTCCGCCCAAAATGTGTGTGACACCTGAAAGCACTGTACACACCTGATTGCTCTGTTGGGAATAACACGCAGTGTGGCATTCTGGCTGGGAAATGGGGTGATAGGACACAGGGTGGGGAGTGCTGCATGGAGGAGGAGTAACTCTACAAACGTCACTCTACAGAGCATGGGAAGAGGAGCACTAAGAATAGGACTGCAACAGGACGCTGCAAGCTTCCAGAAAGGGCAGTCACCATTGGATCATCCCCTAGTGATGTTAAATAAGAGCAGGTAGGAGGGACAGAAGGTCAGCCAGAATCTTGAGCCCTATTGAGGGGCTTCCAGTGGGAGAAAGAAGAGGAGATGAATGACAACAGAAGGTTTACCACCACCTAACTAGAAGCAGGAAGTCCAAAGACAATTGACTAGCAAGAGACCAGCCATGAAGCCCTGGGACACAGCCTCCACACTCAGGACTGCTTGGTGTTCTTGGTTGCATATAACCATGGAAAGAGAAAACTGCAACAGCTTGCTGCCCACCAGCTACAAGACAGGACCCAAAAGAATGAAGAACTGGGGACCCCAAGTGTAAGTGAGCAGGGAAGCCATTGTGGGGAAGTGGAGACAGGAGCCCCCAGGGAATGCACAGGGGCCTCTCCTACTATCGAAGAAAGCCCAGTGTGATTAGACATGGGGACTTCCTAGGGCTGGAAACTATCCACAAGACTCCTGTTTAGCAAAGTCTGGCCAGGGAGATACCTAATCTGTAGTAGCCGCCATGGAGGGACCCCGAAAGTGGTGAAGAGGGTCACTCCTAAAAGGACTTACGCAGTGTCTGGAAGTACAGGGGACTGTCCTACATTTAGGAGCTGACCCGAAAAACCTCCTTGAACCCCCCTCTGCAAGCTGGCTTGGCCAGCAGAAGTTAACATGGCCATGAAGGTAAGCCTGGCTTTGTCAAACAGGAAGAAGAGCAAATCCTCCCAGGGAAGCAGGGCCAGGTGCCCTCCCTGGTTCTGACTCTCTCACACATTTGCTGCCTCCATTCCCTCTCAGTGCACCCCTGCCCTGGGAAAGCCCCATGGAGAGAAGACCATATTCTGTCCCCATTTGTATCTCTGTTTTCCTCAGTGTCCTGCTGCTTTCCCTACAGGACCCCTCCCCACCCCACGGCACACCAGGCCCTCATTCAGGCCCCAGCTCCCTCCTCCCAGTCTGCAGAGCCCTCCTGCCCATCACCTGCCCTCCTGCCTATTACCCGATCCCTGAGCACCAGGCTTTGAAACCCCAGCTGCTCCCACCAATCTGAGCCCAGCCCTACTCCTGGCCTCAGGCTCCTGCCCAGGAACAGCTCTGGAGCCTCCTCCTAGTTCAACTGCCTGGTTGATAAGGTCTCAGAAACCTATCACACAGCTGAGGCCACACCTCAGGTTCACACAGCCCCAAACTCTATTCTTCTCCAAAACCAAACCTCACTACCCAGCCCTGCTCTCCCCACCCCACCCCAAGGCATCCCTGTTTCCTCTACGTATGTTCTGCCCCAGATACAGCTGACCCCTGGCCTTCTTCCTGCTCCCCCTACCTGGCGCAGGTTTCGGGTAACCCGGACGTCGTGCCAGGCGTTGTCGTTGAACTTGCCATTGACGGGTTCCACAAGGGCCTCGAAGGCACCCGAGCCTAGGTTGATGACCAGCCAGACAGCCCCGGACTTGAGGGACAGGTTGACGTAGTCAGCCGACTTGCCCGTGTGCAGCATCAGCCCGTTGCGCTGCAGGGTGCGGAAGGCCAGTGTGATCTCATCAGTGCTGCTCTGGATCGGGTTATGTGACAGGTCGTAGCAGAAGAATTCATTGCCCTTGAAGGTTGCCACAAATTCCTCCTTGCCTGGACGCCATGGTTTGGGAAAATGGGAGAAGGCTGAGTGGGTGGGGTACGCCAGAGCCTCCCCCTTCACCTCCAGCAACCCAAGCATGGGTCCTGGACACTGGAGTCCTGTGGTCCCAACTCTAAACTTAGGCCCTCTTCCCCTCCTACATCCTGTCAACCTGAACCCTGCTGTCTTTGCTATCAAAAGTCAACTTCCCCCAGGTCCATTTCCAAAGCAGGAGGCTGCTAAGTGGCTCTCACACTGACAGCTGACAATTAAGCTGCCACAGGGCCAAACAAAGCTACAGGCTTCACCATCTCCTCCCTACCAATGCTCTCAACCCCTGCCACCCCAGAATAAAGGCACATGGGGGAGAATCAAGAGACTGCCTGCCTTCTCCCTGGGAGTGCCTCCTGAGCAGCCCAACTTTCCTCTGCCTCTTCTTTGCTAACAGCTATTCTCAGTACCCAGGGACAGGGGCAGTTTCAGGCCTCACCATAAATGATGAGACCAGGGGATATGACACAGGGGAAGGCAAGGCAAGTGACAGGGATATACACCAGGTGACAGGCCATTCTGCTGCACTTACATGGGTGCTCACCATGCCAGCTCTCCCTCCTCTCCCAACTTCTTCCTCCAGCCTACGAAGTCCCACAGTGCCATGTGTATGACCATAGATGCCAAGTGAGTGGCAGGGGAGGGCCTGGCTCTCATGTGTGCATGCCCATGGATGTGCCTGGCCTGTGTGCACATGTGTGAGTATGTGTATTTATGTATGTGTACACATAATCACAGCATACAGCCCTTGTATGTGTATAGCATCCAGCGTGTGTGTGTGTGTGTGTGTGTGTGTGTGTGTGTGTGTGTGTGTGTGTACATGGACACAACACCCAGCTCAAGGTCCTTTCCACTGGCACTCTTTAGGTGGAAGCCATAACTCCTGGGAGGGCCATAGGGATTGCTGGTGGTCTACAAGTGGATGGCAAGTAAAAAGACCGTGACAGGAACCAGAGAGTTGGGGTCCAGCCCCTCAACTTCACACACCAGAGCACAAGCCCGGGGCAGAGAACCAGATTCCAAATCAACAGAGGTGAGAAGCCCTGCACCCAGGGCTATCTCTCTGTCAGCAAATACTGATCCTGCTATCTGCCTGGGTGGTTAAGAGGCAAACAGCACTGTGTCATGAGGTTCTTTAGGAAGAGGATTAACTAGCTGAGCTTCTCCTGAATGTTCTCAAGGCCCAGGGAAGAGTAAGCACTGTGTGATGGGCACAGAAGGCCATCCCCCCCATACCCTGGGTCAGGGCTGAGCAGCAGTTCCATGTATGAATGTGAGGGTCTCTCATTGCAGATTCTGTAGACTCTTCTTCAGCATACACAGCCTGCTTCTCTCCCTCCAGGCAGGCTGCCCACACTCTGCCCCTACTGCATCCGGATGCCAAGGCACCAGCTGCTGCCCCAGTGCCTGGCATAGTCCTCCCTGCAGCTGGCAAGGTCTTGTGTCCTGAGGCCACAGGGCAGCAAACTGAGGGGGGTAGAGCATGGGCCACATAGGGACACTCTGAATCCCTCCCTCTGTCTATTTAGGGGGCCGGAAACAAAGGTGAGGCAGCCAGCATAGACAAGGATGTGTTTAATGGTGATGTAGGAGCCCAGCATGGAAGGGACAAAGATGGACCATCAGTGGGTCAGAAAAGTAAAGGAGACGGGGCTGTGAGGGAAAGAGAGGTCACATGGAACCTTATCGATAAAGAACAGGAGGAAGCCCTGAAGGGACAGGTGAGGAGGAGAGCCAGCCAGCACGGAAAGGGGACAGGGTCCTCTGGGGAACTAAAGCCAAGGCTTTCTGGGGCTTTATTGTTTCCATAGCAACCAGGCCTGCTGCTCAGACACTGACAGAGCCAGGGGGCTCAAGAACCAGAAAAGGGAATGCATTTGACCTTGGTTTTACCACCCATACTGTTAGCCCCACCCAGAAGTCAGACCTCCCCGCCCACCCCTTCACCTTCACTGCGGTCAAAGCAGAGAGCCAAACAGAAGGAGGAGAACATAAAGCAGCCACCTGAAAAAGTGATTGGGACCAAACAAAAGAAGTCAGAAAAAAAGGGAGAGAGGCGGGGCGGAGGCTGGACCATGGCTGCCAAGGTGAAGAGCAGAAACGAGGCCTTTCCTGGACTCCTCAGATGGACCCAGGGGAGGAAGCAAAGCCATCTATGCTACAAGCCTGAACAGACTGGACCCCAGTCCTCTTGGCCCAGAGATGGAAAGACACTAAGCTATCAAAGGGAAACTGGATGCTTTTAAGGAAAGGGGTGGAAGGCAGACGGGCTATTGAAGCAAGATAACTGAAGACAAGAGAGCAAGAGAGGGAGAGACCAGAGAGAACTTGATGGAGCTGAGGTAGGCCCTCAAGGGTCCTGATGGGAGTGGCGCTTCAGGGATCAGAATGTGTGGTGTGACCTGGGGAGCTCCTCAGAGCACTAGCTGGATCTGTGATGCTCAGATCCTGAAGCGCCAGGGGGCGCTTTCCTCCATCATCCATGCAGGCCACTGCCAGGAACTACAACTCCCATCAGCACCTGAGAAATTACAACTCCTAAGTGCACCTGATAGGGATGAAGGGAAGAAGTCATTGCTAGTACTTGTTTGCATCTCCACAAGGGAGTCTGTGGCCTCACAAGGGTTCCTAACAAAACTGAATGTGGCCAGAACCGACTGGGTTTCCATGTGCCATGAGAGGGAGGGGCACAGCTGCTCCCTTTGCAGACCCAACTCAGAGGCCTCCTCTGGGAAGATCTCCAGCCCCCTCTGGCCCCTCCTGGCTCTGGGGAACTACAGCTGTGTGTTCTGCTCATTTGGCACTCACTGCCTAGTGACATCTTGTACAGCTCCTTGGGGAGGAAATGTGATGTGATAAAGAAGGACCCAGGCGCTGGTGCTGGCTCCACCAACCAGCTCTGTGACCTTGGCTAAGTTACAGCAGCTCTAAGCCCAGCTTTCTCCTCTGGAGGGGAAATGAAGGAACCACCTGTCAGCCTACCTCCCCGCTTGCTGCAGGAATGATGATGGACAGGACATACCTCAGCCCAAAGTGACTCTGCCCCTGGATGTAACTTTGTGGAGGTGCATGTGTTCTCCCCTCCTTGAGTGAATAAGTAAATTAACTCCTCAGAACAATGTCCGCAGTTTCCATTCACTTACATAGACCATGGGCTATTGTAGTTATTTGTTAGGCCATCAGTGAGATTCCTGGGAACAGTGACCATTCACTCATTTAAAATAATTGTGAGTCAGGTATGGTATTGCACACCTTTAATCACAAGGCAGAGGGCTGGTATGTTTTTGTGAGTTCAAGACCAACCTGGTCTACATGGTGAGTTCCAGGCCAGCCAGAACTACATAGTGAGACCCTATCAAAATTAATCAATTAATGTGTTGGGCTCATGCCTACATACTTGCCGAGAGCTGTACAGAGCATGGAAAGAGGCAACGAAAACCCTGACCTTGAGTTCAGAAGGTCAGAGCCATAAGGGGCAGCAAACAGAGTGATAGTTAGGATGTGGTATGGCTGATTCAAAGGAGGCATAGACAAAGGGGGCTCCCAGAAGTGTCCAGGTTAGCCCAAGAGTTCAGGAAAACTGCCAGCAAGGAGAGCCTGGCTGCTTTTTCTAAGACCTGGCTGTAAGAGATAGCAAGGAGCTGGAGCAGGGCTTGGGATGGTACAAGCCCAGGCAGACAGGAGAGCTCTAGCTAAAGAATGGAGTTGACAGCATAAGTCTGGCCTGACTACAGAGCTTTGAGAGTTGTCAGGATGGCCTGTACATTTCTCAACAAAAAGAGTTCTGAGAGAACGTAGCCTCTGGCCAAAAATGTGACCTGGAATCCCAGTGCCCTAAGACACTTAAGGGGCCTACCACACGCTGGCATCTGAGGTTTTGACCAGTGTCTGCTTCCCCAGCTATAAAATGAAAGCAATGATGCCTGCCACTAAATGTCACCGTGGCTTACTGGGACAATATAGGTGACACACACATCTCACAGGTGTTACCAGTTTCCCCCAGGCAAGATACATAACAGGCTTCTAGAATATGTTGGTACCCTGTCACCTGTCAATCCACCACAGCAACACTTTCTAGGGATGGGCCTGACAACTCATGAAAAAGGGCACCTGTGTTCTGGTAGGTCATCAGGATGGCTGGACTTTGGGAAAGAGATGGAGATTGTGGTCCTTCACGGCAGGGCATGGAATGGTGCCCTGGGAATGGCAGTGGGATGCAGGCTGGGATGCTGCCAGCCTGAAAACAAGGCACAGGAAGATGCCATACACCTGTGAAGACTCCTCTCCTCCCAGAATGCAGTTAGCCTACAGCAGGGCAAGGGCTGGGCTGTCTGGGGACCATGGTGTCACTGACCTTTTGTTGGCTGGTGCACATCGCCGGCTCCTCCTCTCCCGGCCCCCCCCTCGGAGAACAGTAAGGACCCTACTGGAGAAGCAGAATTGGGGAGTCAGGCACAGGGACTTTGCAGCCAGTCCCATCCCAGTCTTGAGTTGATGGAAGGCTCTATTTAGGACAAAGGTGCTGCTTGCAGGCAGGTGAGGAGAGTTTCTCTGGGGACTCACTGGCCTTCAGGAACTCTTGAGGAGCCATGTGACAACACAAAGGCCACCAGCCCCACATACCCTATCAGACTTCCAACCACCAATTTCTAGCCTTTGTCCAGGGTAAGGGAGAAGGGCAGTTCTGGGGACCAAGGTCCTGAGCACCTGTACCCATATTTCCCCTTCATCCTGTGAGACCACTAACACATCTCTGGGGTTCATAGTCCTTGCTCACTGGGCATCTCTGCTCACACTGCTGCTGGGTTAGAGAATGGTCTTATCCACCTGCTTTTGCCTGACATGGTCACCTGTGTTCCAAAAGCCACCTCAGTTTCAGTACCAAAGCCCTCCTGTTCTGTTCCTGTTCTCTCACGGGCCACCCGTGCCTGCTTCAGTCCACACCGCAGGTG